TTGGACAAGACATTGTTGTACTTCCATTGTTGACAGACAACTGAAGTGACCTTCGCGTCATCTTGTATAGTCACAGCGATGTTTATTAATTCAGACATGTCGATAAATCTGCATGAAATGCTCAACGCGTGTGAAAGGAAAACCTCCTTAAGTAATTATAGACATCAGCGTCCCAGATAATTTCAATAATAAACCCGATCGATCAACCAGATCAGGAAATGAATAATTTATTACACAGTTTCGGTGAAACACAGCGCTGTCAGGAGTTAGACAATGCAAATTCTTTAACAGCAGAAATACCATTGTTGACGTATGAACTGAGAACGTTAGTAATTGCAAGTATTTCAATCACAAATTACTTGTCATTTGCATTGTTAAAATATTGTCTTTTATGTACGCGACAATGACTTTAATTTATCTACATTGTTGTCAGCACAAACGTCAGAAGGAGTCTCATTTGCAAAACAGTGTTCTGTAGCAGTTATAAATGGCCCTGTGTCTGCAGATGTGAATACATCAATTTCGGCAGGCATTATTTTCGGTTTGGTAAGAGTAGTAATTATTTTATATTTATTTAGTGTTCTGTCTGACGACAGGTCCATATGAACAGGATCCTTCCATCCTTTTCTCTTCTCGGACTGGGACCTGTTCATATACGTTCTTGGCAGATGATCCAGAAGTGGTTTGCCATTGCCTTCTTCTGTGTGTGAATGGAGTAATTGTTGGGGTGCCACGGAGGAAAACTCCGTGTTGCCTAGACCACGGCCTTGCCCAACACAAGTTATAAATTCGGGCACCGCCGGGAATCGAACCCGAGACCCCAGGATTACAAGGCCAGCGTTCTAACCGCGTCGTATACCAGACATTATATTTGAAGTATTCTCCTCTCTCTGAAATTATATCGTAATTCGATCGTTTTGACAAAGTTGAAACCTACTTCTTTAACAATTTGCGGAAGCTGATAGACGTTTCAGAGTTGCGTACTAGCTCCACCATCACCTCTGAAACGTCAGTCAATTAATGCGAGAAGGCTCAGTATCCCAGAAGGCTGACATCTTCATATTTTGTAATACTACCATTTGACGTTACTTGGTTAAGTTGAAATGAGGTCGTCACGTAACCCAAGCTTCCACGGACGACCTGTCACGATTACTTCTGTAGTTGAATGTGTAATGAGCCGATTATTTCCTTAAACAAGGTTAACCAGTTGATCTTTGTAATGGTGAGGTGTAGTGTTTTCTTCGCGGTACGGACTGAATTCTTCAGTTTCATTTGAAAGAGCTTCGGCTCCAAAGGTTAATTAGCATTTTAGTCGTATTATTTCCTTAAACAAGGTTAACCAGTTGATCTTTGTAATGGTGAAGTGTTGTGTTTTCTTTGCGGTACGGACTGAATTACTAAATATTATTTATAGGCTCCTCAGGCTTAAAAGGTTTAAATTTTCGTATTCAGGTCCGATACGAATAAACGAACGCCGTTTTGGAATTATTTAAGCTCGTGCGCTTAAAGGAGAATAATCCATTTATAATTACACTTCGAAATATGCAGCAATGTTTAGACTGGCACGCTTTACAACAGGCACATCTCAGAGGAACACGCTGTAGATATGCTGACGTCATACAGCCTCCCGTAACCATAGCAACGTGGATCAATCGTGCTGCCCTGTCCGCAGCTCGGCACCCCCACAGCCGTGGCCCCCAACAATTATTTTCTCCGTCGTAGATTTCCACAACCGCCCCCCCCCCCCCAGTGTCAGCATCAAAATTCATTTCTATAGTAACCCCCCACCAAATTAACGCAAATCGTTTTGCAAACGCCACCCCCAAGGCCAATATTAAAATTCAAAATTAACGCAAAGACCCTGATCAACCCTCCCCTACTCCATTTCTTATCCCATCCTGTCTCCTAAATCTCTTGCCCTCACCAAACCTATTCATACAAGAAGGACGAGCGGGCACTGCCTGGGAACCTTCGTAGCCCAAACCAGTAGCAGTAGGGAAAACATTATTTGTTCATGGCATCGTCATTAGATTTCCTGTCGTTTAATTGTTGTCATTCCGAATAAGAACTGACGAATTCTGTTGTTATAACTATCGATAGGACGTACCATTCGATATTACCAATCACTGTTTTTATCAGACGATTAAAAATCGAATAATTATGTTCGTTCGATAATTTAATTCAGTGGCGGAAATATATAATCGCGTTTTTTATGGCATGAAAGTATTACAATGAAAATGAATTGTCTGTAAAGATATAGACACATGACAGATTTCAGGTTCCGGTGGTGGTGAACATGATGAAGTGGGCAGCTTTCGGAAAGAATTTATTCACAAATTACGAAACGTCTGTTACGATAGGCCAAATTACGAACGCCGCATTTCCGGAACGTGACATTTGGAATTTTAATCATTTAAACAGGGATTGGTGTATGTGGAGAAAACACACACTGGCCAGGTACACAATGATTTGCGGGGAGTGCGTGTTTCAGCCTTGAACGACAACGCTCTTACGTTACCGATGGTGAACTTCAACGTCAGTTGGTCTTCGTGAGTCGTGGTGGTAGTCACGATAATTCGTCCGTCCGGAGCTGATACAAAAAAAGATTAAAAATATGGCGTAAGTATACAGAATGATAATACACTATATATGGACACATGATACTAATGCTGATGTTAGAGAATCATTGTGTAAAGTTTTGAGGTGGCATAAACCAGCTTAGGATGGGACCAAGTGGATGGATTTTATCGAAAATAGTTCAGGATCTGGATATTGCTCGTAGCTTCAGCAAACCCTAGCTAACAGAGGGGGTTAGTTTAATGACAACACCGCTAATCAGAATATTGGAGCTCAGGGTATCAAAATACTACTGGAACATTAAATATAAAATATAGCAAAGTTTACAAAAATAAATCCATCAATCAAGAAAACCATCACACACAGAATAATAATTATACAAATCTGTACTTTAGTATAAAAATTATACGTTACAGAAAATGTGAATTTTTTGTTTTGGTAAATTCCATAGACAGATCTATATATGAGCTCCAAGGGGTGGAGAGCAGATATTAGTCAGGTTAAACCGACTAACATTTAAACAAATTATAAATAATAAGTCATTAAAATTAAATTATTTGTTTATTCCGTCAAATCACAATGTATTTAAAATAAGATAATTAAAATAATTAAAATATCATTCTGTGTTCCATATCGATTATTCGATATGGAACACAGAATATTTTAATTATTTTAATTATCTTATTTTAAATACATTGTGATTTGACGGAATAACCAAATAATTTAATTTTAATTTAATAAGTCACAATATGACGCAACTACACTATCTTATAAATAATAAGTCTTTTGACATCCGTGGATCACTGATATTCCACGCACTGCAAACACATCACATAAAATGCATCGTTGCCATGGTAACGCTATTAAAGAAGGCCTACTATATGCAGGTATTAAGACCTCGATATAAGATCATATTTGAGATTATGTGACTTGAAAATTTCAGGTTGTATGGACATATTTTGACAATTTAAGAATTTGTGTACTTACAGGTAATACGTGGCTGTTGATATTTTGTGTTAATTATTTTTATCATAGATTACAAAGTAACATTAACGCATCTGAATAAAAAAATCCTTGGATATTTTCTATCGTCTAAGAAATAATAAATAGAAAGAGACGTTTCGGAGATGGGGCTTCATCTCCGAAACGTCG